ACACGGTGGGCGCTGCGGGGCTGCTGCGCAGCAGGCGGGGCTCCCGCGCTCGGCGCCATGTCGAAATCGACTTTTCCCTCATCCAGAGCGGCCTCGGCCCCCTGCGCTAATGCACGAGGAGGTCCCTCCTTCTTCCCGCGCAGCGCGTCCTCGTGGTCCGGGCCATTCCCATTCCAGACCCTGCAGCGAGCACTCTCAGCACATTACCGCAGTCGATGTGCAAGTCCACGGGGTCCATGGCCACACGCTGGAGCATGAAAGCAGCGTAAATAGTCTTCTGCGTTTGGCGCCGGGTGGCATGGTACCACAGATAGCGGGCGCGGCTCCGAAGCAGCCCACTTGCACGACAGGAGGGAGGGACGAGGAGGAGGAGGAGGAGGACCAGAGTACACTCAGGATCCATCAGTGATGCTACAAAACGCCCGCACGTCCCAAATCAACTTCCCGAAAGTTGTTCTAGACCATCCTTACAAGAAAGGCTCCCTTGAAATAGAGCACCCTGTGGGCCTGCCATTTAGGCCAGGGCCCCGTTTTGAAAAGCAACTGCCCTGCATCCTTCCAGCGAACAACCATGAATGCGAACAAGCATGATCAGATACTTCAACGCGGTGTCCAGGGATACCTCCGTTTTGAAAACAAGGAAAACAAGAACGTCCCCCAGTGTGCGCCTGTTGCGCAAGTTTATGGCCACGAGCTTCCAGGAAGTCTCTAACGAGAACCCATGTTTAAAACGAGCCGCCCTCGATGCGCTAAACTGATACATATGTTCAAAATTACGGCTTCAAGATTTTCGGAAACCCAGCGCGAGAGCCCCATTTTGAAAAGGAGACGGCCCCTTATCGCGCGATCGGTTGAAAGCTTTTGAGACGAATGTGCGCGGCGCTAATGCGAACGCCTCATTTTGAAAAAGAGGCATCCCTCCATCCCTCTAACTGCGGCAAGCTTTACACACGGACTTGCGGCGCGCTAAGGCGGTCGCCAGTTTGAAAAGGAGCTGCCTTCCATCCTCGTAGCTGTTACATATTTGAGACGAGTGTGGGCGACGCTGATGCGAGAGCTCCCTTTTGAAAACGACATGTTCAACATCTTTGCAGCTGTTGCCAAATGTTCAAACATGTGTGCGCGGCGCTGAGGCGAGACCCCATTTTGCAAAAGACCGCCTCCATCCTTGTAATTGCTGAAAGCTGTTAAAACGACTGTGCGCGGCGCTAGCGTGAGAGGTCATTTTCATCCTTGCAACTGGATCAGAAGCTTCAGGATCAGAAGTGGCGAGGAAAACTCAGGCGACACGCCTGGCCTTCCCGGGAGGTGCGACACGAAGGAGTTATGTATAAGGTGTGAGGGACGGAGGAGGGGGTGAGGAGGGGCATATGAGCGAGCGCCTCAACTACAACACAAGAGCTGATGCGCGTGCGTGCAGTCTTCGCATGCGCGTAACTATGTTTGCTTTAGGCGTGGCACGTGTGACTTGTACGCGTGCCGCCGTGTTTTGGCTCGAACTGCCTGGTGCCGAAGCCAGCGCGAACTTTAGATAGGTTGTGTAAAAGATGGCATTACCATACATACTAGATTCACTTGTTCTGCTTGAGCTGAATAATCTGGTCTCGGTGCAAATTAAACAATTTTGTGCAATAGCGCGGTGATCTCTCCTCGTTGGCACCCACAGAGCCTGGGTGCACGAAGGGCGCTAGATGAACAACCGCAGAATGGCCTAAGGAACATCGAGTCAATTCCGACCCCCAAACGGTTCTTATCACAGCGTCCTGACAATAGGTGAAGAACACGAATGGGCATAACATGCGTGTGCGGTTGGACATTCATATTCAGCTGGGGGCTGCTCCTAGAAATCCAGGACTTGCCAGCATTTAAACGAACGCCGCTGTGCCCGAACGTCGGCACAACGGCGACCGAAAGCGCTGGAACTCATATGGGAGCATCTGGGACTGGAGGTCCCGCCGGGTCGGCACAAGATCTGGCGAGGCTGGAGGAGGAAGGGGGAACGATTGGAGAGAGCGCGTTCCACGGCCACTAGCCTGAGACAAACTACCTCAGGGGGTCCCAGAAACCGAAACCACCCCTTTCCTTTCCAGAGGTGGGGGTCCGGAACCTCCTCCCTAACCCCCCCCCCCCATCGCACTCGCAGAGGGCAAACGACAACGACGACGGCGAGTACGTACATCGCCAGACTACGACGACGACCGACGATGACGACGACGACGGACGACGATGAAGATGACAACGACGGACGTTGGACAACGACCAACGAACGACGGACGGACGACGACGACGACCACCTTGCGAACATGTGATCTAATACGCTGATTTGAGCTTAGCTTGTTCCTCCCTCTCCCTTGCACCCGCCCACTTCGTATATGTACCAACCCCTTCCGAGGGGGGGTTCTTTCATACCAGCTTCTGGAAGAAGCACTCAGCAAGCAATGCACTGTGTGCACGCGCCGCGCCGACATGGCCGTCTGGCGAGCTAATGCGCCCGCGGGCAACTCAACCTGAGCGGAAGGCTCGGTAGAGGGCGCATTTCCTGAGTCTTGGGGAATCCAGAGCGTTGCAGAGTAAACTGTGAGAAAATATCGAGCGGGAGCCATTGTCTTCTGAGCTCGGCTTTCACCACATTGATATCACATTGAGTGAATTGCGAGAAGGTCTAAGGCGAGAGCGCCACTCCTGCGTGTGATGATGCATACGAAGGGCGTCTCGGACTAAACTGTGAGGAGGTATCGAACGGGAACCGTTGTCATCGTATTTGGACCGCCCGTCCTCCACCAGCTCGTCTGAATTGAAAAGCCAGGCGAGAGCACCGTTCCTGAGTGTGGGGCCCTCACTGGCCAGAGCGTCTCGCAGTAAATTGTCAGCACGTATCGAGCGGGAGCCGTTGTCGTCGTTGCTTCGCAAACTTCGCTGATTTGCGAGGAGGTCTCTGGCGAGAGCGCCGTTCCTGACATTTGGGGGCCTCTCTGGCCAGGGCGCCTCGGAGCAAACTGGGAGGAGGTATCGAGCGGGAGCCGTTGTCGTCGTCGCTGAACCTCCAGCAGCACGCACTTGAAGCGAAGCCTGCGCTCGAGCGGGAGCCGAGCTTTCAAAAGAACTGCAACCGGCGTCGGGGCGAGAGCCCCCAGAACCGTTTCCGTAGATCAGCAGTCACCATCTTCTAGCAGTGGGTACTCGACGACGACGACGCTGAACGACGAACAGCGGAGGACGGACGACGGACGTAGGCCGACGACGGACGTCCGACGACGGACGACGGACGACGGACGACGGACGACGGACGACGACCAACGAGCGGCGGTGGCGATGGCGGCGACGACGACGACGAAAACGGGCGACGGACGACGACGGCGACGACGACGACGACGACGACGACGGACGACGGACGATGGACGACGGACAACGGACGACGGACGACGGGGACGACCACGACGACGACGGCGAAAACGACGCGGACGACGACGACGACGACGACGACGACGCGGGCGGCTGGGTCATCAGGCGGACGGACCCTAAAGGGCGGGTCAGGTCGCGCGGGTGGACCCTGACGGGCGGTTCCGGTCAGGCGGAAGGGACATGGAAGAATGCGTCGCGTGATCAGACTGGCACAAAAGAAGCCGAACGGGCGGGTATGGTCGCGCGGGCGGACCCTAACGGGCGATTCGGGTCGGGGCGGGCAGGACGTTCGCGTATGCTGCATAATCGAAGTTCACACGTAAGAAACCCGACGGGCGGGTCGGGTCGGGCGGGCGGCCCCTGACGGGCGAGTCGGGTCGAGCGGGCGGACCCGGACGGGTCGGGTCGGGCGGAACATTCAAGTATGATGAATCTCATCTTTTTTGCGCACGAGAGCCTGTCGTTGTTTCCCGTCGTCGTCGTCTGCGTCGTCGTTCTCGTCGTCCGTCGTCGACGTCGTCGTCGTCGTCGTCGTCGTCGTCGACGGTACGCGTCTCGTCGTCGTCGTCGTCGTCGTCGTCGTCGTCGTCGTCGTCGTCGGCCGTCATCTGTTGTCAACGACGGAATCGTCGAAGTCGTCGTCGTGTTCATCAACGTCGTAGTCGTCGTTGTTGTCGTGGTCGTCGTCGGTTGTCTTCGTCGTGGTCGTCGTCCGTATTTCGTCATTCGTCGTCGTCGTCGTCCGTTGTCGTCGTCGCCCCGTCGTTCGTCGTCGTCGTCATCGTCGATCTCGTCGTCTGTCATCGTTGTCGTCGTAGTGCCGTCGTCCGTCGTTCGTGTTTCAACATCATCATCATCGTCTCGTCGTCGTCGTCGTCGTCGCATGTCGCCCGTCGTCCGTTGTCCGTCGTACTTCGTCTACCGTCGTCCGTTGTCCGCCGTCCGTCTTCCGTCTTTCGTCGTCCTCGTCGTCATCGTTGTCGTCTTCATCGTCGTCGTGGTCGTCATCGTGGTCGTGATCGTCGTCGTCATCGTGTCGTCTTTTATTCGTTGGTCGTCGTCCGTCGTCCGTCGTCCTTCGTCCTCCGTCGTCGTCGTCGTCGTCGTCGTCGTCGTCGTCGTCGTCGTCGTCGTCGGCGTCTGCGTCGGCGTCGGCGTCGGCGTCGGTGTCGGCGTCGTCGTCGAGCATCGTTGCTTGTTGTCGTTTGCCAGCAGTGAGAAGGGGAAGGGGGCTTCCGGAACGCCCCACTCCTGGAAGGGGGAAGGATGAGGTTCCAAACTCCCCCCCTTTTGCAACGGGGGAGGGGTTGGACCCCCCTTTGCGCGAGGGGGGTGGGGTGTTGCAAGCCAAGCAAGCGCCCCCCGTGCCAGTGCACAGAGATCGTGCTCCTTCCCATGTGAGGATCTCCGCGTTGAGTACTTGTATGTCTGCGAGGGGGGATCAACAAGGAAGTGAGGTGCGACTGTTTCTGTATAGTTTCTGTTTCTGTCTGTAAGAGGGAAGCAACATGGAAGCGAGGTGGGACGCGGGAGGACGCGGGCGTGACGCGGGTGGGGAGAAAACCACAACCCTACTCAGCATGTGGAGGGGGGAGGCGGGAGAACGCGATCTGCGTGCGGACGGTACGCGCTCGAACACCTACAGGCGCCGCTGGCAAGCGGCGACAGGAGCGGTGGCGAGGCGGCCAGGAGCAGAGGGACCCAAAGGGCACCGCACGCGACCTCCTCCGAGCAGGAGCGGCATCCTCTGCGCGCTCTTGGCCCCCCTCGGGTTCCCGGAGACCCCTGGAGACCTCCGAACGTGTCCAGGGACCTGCAAACACCCCTTGGAACTTCCTGGGAACCTCTGGAGATCTCAAGGCCCAGACACCCGATGTCTTAATTTTTCCAAGGCGGGATCCCCCCACAGCCCGCTTGTCAATCCTGGGCCGTAGATCCAAGGCCCGTGTGCCCGACGAAATGAACCCAGAGGCCGAGCGCAAAATCTCTGTTCTGTCAGGTCTGCGGGATGCTCCTCCTCCATCTCTTTTCCTGGTCAACAGCTCCTCCCTGTCGTACCCCAGGCGCGTCGGTAGGGCAAGGCCGGGCGTTTCGCCTGATATATGTTCTAACGGTCTGTGATGTTGAAGCTTGCAGTCTGCAACAACTTCCAAAAATGAAAGCGGGGCGTCTTCAAAATGGGGCCCTCGCGTTAGCGCCGTGAACATTCGCCTTCAATGTCTGCAAAAGCTTCAGGGGTGGATGGAGGAAAGGCTCGATTTCAAAATGGGGTTCTCCCCTTAGCGCCGCGCGCGTCCGTCTTTCAAGTTTGCCACAATTTCACGGATGAGAGCGGCTCCTTTCCAGAATGCGGCTATCGCCCTAGCGACGCGCGCATTCGTCCTAGAACTTCGCAACCAATTCAAACAAGCGGGGGGCGTTTTCGAAATGGGAATCTCGCCGTAACACCGCGCGCATTCGTCTTCCAAGTTTGTTCCATATTCAAGAATCGAAAGGTGGGGTCGTTTTCAAAATGGTGCTCTCGCCTTGGCGTCACAACGGTTTCAGGGATGAAGGGCGGCTCGTTTTCAAGGAAGGGTTTTTCATCTAGCGCCACGCGCATTTGCCTAAACACGTTGAAACACTTTCCAGGATGGAGCACGGCCCTTTCGTTTTAATGGGGCCCTCGCCTAAGCCCCGCCCACAATGCCCCTAACATCGGAATGTGGGGGGGATCGAAGTGAAACGGAGACCCCCCGCCGGAAACTCCCACCAGCCCGTAGGGCGTGAGTGTTTTGGGGCGCTTCGTCTTCCAACCCCCTTCTTCCCCTACGGGAAGGGGTTTGCCCCTCCCCCCGCCCCCCACCCCTGAATGGGGGGGGGTCGCAACCAGTTAGACCGTCCAAAGCGGCCTCGGCAAGAAGGCATACATCATTGATGTTATTTCGGTCTTGGGCCCAGTCTGGTCTCTCAGGAAGCGGGCTCTAACTGATGACCCCCACTTGTTTGATCGATCTCCTCTAAGATGACCCCAAGATGGCCTCTAAGGCTCCCAAGAGTGCCCCACGAGGCGCCCAGGATGTCGCGGGAGGGCCCCAAGAGGTCCCCAAGAGGTCCCCAAGAGGCCCCCAGGAGAATCCCAAAAGGCCCCCCGAGGCTCCCCCGAGGCACCCAAGACGCTCCAAGAGGCCCCCGCGACCGCCAAGAGGCCCCCAACACGCACCAAGAGGTCTCCAAGAAACTATCAAGAGACACCCGAAGAGATTCCGAGGGGCATCCGAGAAACCTCGGGCCTTTCTGCTCGCACTCCTCCTCTTCCTCATACGCCAATTCCACCTCCTTCTTCCTTCCTCCTCCCCCTCCCCTTCCCCCTTGTGCTCCTCCTCCTCCTCCTCCTCCTCCTCGTCCGATTCCTCCTCCAACCTCCCTCTCTTGGGACACGACGGCGCCCCCAACCTTTCACTCCACTGCATGCTCCCCCACCTCCCTGATCAGGGCAACTCGCCTTGGGTGGGCTATTGGACTTACACGAGGCGTCTAACATCGGTGTCGGTTTCGTGCTCGTGTCGTGCGCAAAGGCGAGGCGAAACTGCGTGCGCGGGCGGGAAGAGCGAACACGCCGTTGGTATCAGAGCAGGTGCTCAAGGTCTCGTCGACGGCAGCCTGCGTCCTCAGCGACCCGCCGGCACAGGTGAGCCTGGTGGGCTTTTGCGACGTCAGCACGATGCGGACGTGCCGATTGGGCACCGGGTGGACAGAGAACCTGCGCTCATCCTCTCATCTGCTGTCCTGTGCCTGGCGCCAGGCTTTGCCAGCGCCGCCGGGGACGCGCGCCCAGCTGCCGCGATTGAGCGCGTCGCCAAACCGTCCAAGGATTACGTCGCGGCGCGGGCGCGCAGTCTGGCGGCGGAGTGGAAGGCAATCCTGGCGACGGGCGACGACGCTTCCAAACCGAGACCCCACCTCCAAAATCAGCGGGCGACCCAGCTGGCGACTACTGGTCGGAGGGGCGCCCGCGCAAAGTCAGGCGCCTGGCGTCGAAGCCACTTTCGCCGCTTGCGCCCGGGAGGGCGTTGGCTTCTCTCCACAGCGGCAACCAGCTAGAACGGGCGAGTGGCAACGCCAGGCTCTGCCGGCCCAATCCTGGCCTCGCCGCCCACACTCTGCGAGCATAACTCTCGCGCGCGCCCCCCGTCGTTCTCAGTGAGCGGCCCCGCCGCGCTGCCGCTCCAAGACGGTGTCCAAATTTTGGTGCAGAGCAAGATATCGATTGCGGTGCGGAAAAATCGGTCGTCGTGATCTGGGCCACCCCATGCGATCGTCACCATCACGATGGTCATCGCAGTCATCACGGTCAGATCGTCCCTATGACCCACCACGTGCCCACAGCCACAGCTCACATCATAGTGGCCACTGCCGTTCTCAGGCACCTCGCACGCTGTTGCGTAGAACCCCACATATTACCCATGTCAATGGCGGTCATGCGACATCCGCCATCGCGACCTGGACCACCTCGTGCCATTGTCACCATCGCGATAGTAAGTGCAATCACGGCGCGCGTTGCCACCGTTCCCGCGTGCATCTCCGTGGCCGCCGCCGCTCTGGCCGCGCCGCAGTCGCGGGCGCGGGTGCGTCATGGCAGGTGCGCCGTGCTGTGGGTGCTTGCTTTGTTGCCGCCACGGAGAGCGGTCCTTCTTGGCCAGGCTCTGCCGCGGTGGGCCGAGCCTGCCCAGCCCGCGCCCGCCCGCGCAGCCTCGCTCAAGCGCTTCGGCTCTCCGCCCCCTCGGGTGGGCGCGCGGGCGCCGCGCCGGTTGAATCGCCTCTCGGGGCATCGGGCCAGCGAGATCCCGCGGCGCCCGCGCGGAACAACCATCCGCCCGCGCGCCCAAAGCACCGCAGTGGAAAGCGAATGGAACCCACGTCGGCGTGCAAGAACTTTTCGGCGCTGGGCTCCGCCAGTGCCGACTGGCAATGCACTTTGGACTTGCCGCGCAGCCTTGCCGGCGGAGATGGCCGCCGTCTCGTGCGCGACGAAGGCAAAACGATGAAGCGCCTGAGCTCGCGCGCCTCTACGCGGTTGCCGCCCCCGTCGGCGCGTCGCCGTCGGAGTTCTTTCTCCGCCGAACGCAGGGCGATCACTGCGGCCCAAACGTTGACTAAACCTACCCGGCGCGGGCCCAGGGCGCCGAGCTCTGTCGGTGCACGCCCCGGCGCGCCTGCCTGGATGCAGGCGCGGAGGCTGCGACGCCGCGCGCTGAAGCGAGCGCGGATGGCCTCGCGCGCCAGCGCCAGCGCCGAAAAAAAAACTGGAAGTTCGACCCGTCGCGGTTTAGCCATGGGAAGACGGGCTCCAAACCGCGCGCGCGCTGCATGTTCAATGCGCCCCCGGCGCCGGGGCGCCCTCAGATTGTCGCCCCGCGCCGCCCTGTTTTCAATTGGAGGCCGAAAGGCACCAAAGGAGCGACAATAACTAGGCCGGAAAAAAAAACGCTCGGAAGGCGCGCCTGGAGCTCAGGGCACCAGACTCCGCCAGTGCCTCGGGCGCTGCTTCCTAAACCCAAGCGGCAGCGGGCGCCGCGAGCAGCCGCGCGCAGGCGCCCGCGGCGACGGGATTTGCCAGTGCGTGGGCTTCACGCTGCTTCTTTGCGCGGTGTCTCCTCCTGGCTTTGCCTCCAACGCAATGGGCCGCCAGCTGCGATGAGGCAGATGCGTCGCGATGCACATTTTGACCTCTTCCTTGCTCGGCCTTCAGTCGCAGCGCACTTTCTTGGGAAGCTCCGCTATTTCCACCACATCGAAGACGTCATCCACTGCGCTAAGTTCATTGCCCCCATCTCGATCATCTCCTTCAGCATCTACTCCTGAGATAACGAGTATCTGATTGGGACTCACGGGTTTCGGTGAACTTAATGGACCAAGTTCTCCGCTCGGATTCCCCGCCCCGGAAAATCCCAGCCGCTCGCAACTTCCCCCGCATTCCTTCTAGCTCCTGCACGCCTCCCGCCGGTGCTCTAATACCGACTTGGAACGTGCTTCCTCTTTCGCGCGCCGCCGGCCTCTGCCCGGCGGCCATGCGTTCCACGCAGCTGCCCGGCCGCCCCTTCTCATCCCGACCAAGCAAAATCTGTTGCTCTGCTTCTACCATTTCACGAGCAGGTCCTAACGCCTTCTTAACGTCCGCAACCTGGATGGGCATACTCACGCGGGTCCCTTGTTCGCTGCTTCCTCTTATAACCATCTGCCCATTGTTTCGGATAATGGCGCCGCTGGCGGCGCTAAGGTGCCCCCCCGCTCGCGAGGCATCCGCGGGGGTAGCGGTGAAATGGCCCCCCGCGCCTGGTGGCCCGACCGCGCCGCAAGCTCCCGAGTCCAGGGCAACCGCCGCCACCTCGTGCCCCCCTGCAATTCCCCTGGGGAGCGCCGCTTCATCTTCGGCGACGTTCCAGGCGCTTCTACCAGCTCTACCTCTGCATATTTCTGCTGCCAGTTTTTCTCCACCTCGAGGCTCTTCTGGATCCCGTCGGGTCAGCTACTGCCGTGGGCGCATCCAGAGAGGCGGCAGCTCGCCTTCGCGATTGGTGTCCGGCTTAATTGCTTCATCCTCTGGTTCCTTTTTCGCTCGTGGCGCTGCTGGGCCCACCCATTGAATCCTGGTGGTTCGCTGGGGGGTCCACTCCGCGACAACCTGGCATGGGCTGCCCAAGCGAAATGCTTGGCGCCCGCCTGACCCCCTGAGCTTCCGAACTCTTGTTCGGCGCCCCTGTGCTGCCCCACCTCGTTGGTTCCCTTTTCTGAGCACTGAGCCGCCAGGTGACTTTTTCCACATTTGTTACACTCGCGGCCACTTCTGGGCACGAATCCACCGTTGCTCCACTTTCTGGGCTTTTTGCCTCCGTGGCTGCCGTAACTTCCAAATGTACCGTGGCTCTTCCCTTTAACGTATTGACCGTCTGTTATCTTGCCTCCTTTGCCTCCGCTCGTTCCTTTGCTGCCCTTATTGCCTCCTTTCCTGCAGTTCGCAGCGATGTGCCCACAGTAACCACACCCCTAACATTTCGGTCCTTTCCCCCCTTTTCAGCGTTCCCTTTCTTAACGGTATCCATTCCTTCTCCGACACCGTGTTCGTCTTCGTCACTCCATTCTCCCTCGTTGGCCCAACTGTGCCGGTCTTCATCTACATATCTTTCTGCATTCCAACCTTCGCGAGTCCAACATGTTCACGCGGTCGTCGCTGCTGCCGCTACCGCCCCCTATGTCCATGGAGTCGTGGCTCCGCGCGTCGGCATCTAACCGCTTGTTGCGTGCCACATCGTCACACTTAACGCATAGGCTCTGCTAGTTTTCAGCCGTGAGTGAGTCTGGCGTTTTAAAACACTCGTGGTGCCACCCCTCGAACCAGACCCCTGCATGGGTCATCGTGGACCTCAATTCAGTGCTGCGGAAAGGGAGATTTAACGAGCATGCTGGTCCGTGCTTTTTCAATGTTTCCACTGCTCTAACTGGGTAGCGACGTCCCCGATCCTCTTTGGTTTGTCAGGGCTCACGGCGAAGCTCATCTTGGCCAGCTTGGTCACCCCAGTAACTGCTGAATACCACTTGTATATCGTTTGATACGCTGACGGTCCATCTCCCTCACGGAACCCCTTTCAACTTCCCCCAAAGCTCCACTCCTTTCAATTTTTCATTGAGGATGTACCACGTATCCTCGTCCGGCTTGCGCACCGTTTCGTCAAAGTATCCCTTGGCATCGCCGTCATTATGTTTTGGTTGTTTGCTTTCACGTAGTCGGCTGTTGTTAACCGCCCACTGAAGATCCTGAGCATGTCATCGTCGTCCTCGTCATGTAACGTTCCGTCCATGGTTTTCCAGCTTATCTCCTAAATTCCTTAACGCCGTGCTGCGCTGGGGGCTTACTTGAGCCAGGGAGTTTAATAACTGCTCATTCCATTCACGAAATTTGGACCAGTTTCTGGCGAATGGTTTGATCTGCTGTGTGGCCTTGTATTCGCTAACTGGCTGCGGGTCCAAACGGCGTTGGTATCAACAAAGAACGTCCGACTCTAACGCGATGGTGAGCTCCTCGCCCAGTCGCTAAGCTATGTGCTGACAGCGCCCGTCGTCGAAAACGGGATAACATGAGCCCCGGGACGGGTCCAGCAATAAACGGGCCCTGAAGCTAAACGGATTCATGAGGTAAACGGGCTTCCCCCCAGGACCAACTCTTCATCCCAGTCGCTTTTTGAAGGTCCCGGAAGCCCGGAGAGCCTCCCAAGACCGCCTTTCTCCTCGATCCGGTTCCAACTTCGCGCCAGACGGGCGACTCTGGGAAATCTTCGCGCCCCTGCTGGGTGGTCTGGGGCCGCGGGTGTGAGTTCCGGCGGCTCGGCGGCGAGCCATGGTGGGGCCAGGGCGAGGACGGCCTTCTGAGTGGACGGAGGAGCTCTTCAGAGCGGAAGGGCCACTTTCCAGGCTGAGTTCTCTGCAGCTTGGCAAAGGTCTGGCGGCACTCTTGGAAGGAATCCCCACTGTCCCTGGGCAGCCGCTGGTTTCGCCCGGGGCTGGTTTCGCCCGTCTGGTTTCGCCCGGTTGGTTTCGCCCGGCGCTGGTTTCGCCCGGGCTGGTTTCGCCCGACGCTGGTTTCGCCCGGGCTGGTTTCGCCCGGCTGCTTTCGCCCGGCTGCTTTCGCCCGGCTGCTTTCGCCTGGCTGCTGGAGGAGGTGCAGGAGGAGGAGGGAGAGGAGGCGGAGGAGGGAGGAGGAGGAGGAGGAGGAGGAGGAGGAGGAGGAGGAGGAGATTGACGAGGATGAGGGGGGGGAGGGAGGAGGAGGAGGAGGGGGGAGGAGGAGGAGGAGGAGGAGGAGGAGGAGGAGGAGGAGGAGGAGGAGGAGGAGGAGGAGGAGGAGGAGGAGTGGGGGAGGCTGGAGGGTGGAGGAGGTGGCTGAGGGAGGGCAGGACGGAGGGAGGAGGGAAGAGGGTTAGGGCCGCCGGACCCGACCCGACCCGACCCGCCCGTTAGGGTCCGCCCGTCCCGACCCGACCCGACCCGCCCGTTAGGGTCCGCCCGACCCGACCCGACCCGACCGTTAGGGTTCTCGCGTGCTCTCTCGATTATGCACCACACTTTAATGTCCCGCCCGCCCGACCCGGCCCGCCCGTTAGGGTCCGCCCGCCCGTCCCGACCCGACCCGCCCGTTAGGGTCCGCCCGACCCGACCCGACCCGACCGTCAGGGTTCTCGCGTGCCCTCTCGATTATGCACCACACTGTAATGTCCCGCCCGCCCGACCCACCGGCCCGTTAGGGTCCGCCCGACCCGACCCGACCGTTTGGGCTCTCGCGTGCCCACTCGATTATGCACCACACTTTAATGTCCCGCCCGCCCGACCCAACCCGCCTTAGGTCCGCCCGCCCGTCCCGACCCGACCCGCCCGTTCGGAACCGCCCGACCCGACCCGACCCGACTCGACCGTTGGGGCTCTCGCGTGCCCACTCGATTATGCACCACACTGTAATGTCCCGCCCGCCTGACCCGACCCGCCCGTTAGGGTCCGCCCACCCGTCCCGACCCGACCCGCCCGTTAGGGTCCGCCCGACCCGACCCGACCCGACCCGACGGCGGCGGCGACGACGACGACGACAACGACGGCGGCGGCAGCCGTCGGCGAGACCAGCCCCGGCGAAACCAGCGGGGCGAAACCAGCGGGGCGAAACCAGCGCCGGCGAAACCAGCGTCGGGCGAAACCAGCGCAGGCGAAACCAGCGTCGGGCGAAACCAGCCCCGGCGAAACCAGCCCGTGCCCTGTCCCTGCCGCCCCCCTTTGCTCGCCGGTAAGAGCACGCACGTGCGTGGGTTATGAGAACCCAAGCGGCACTGCACGCCCGGCAAAAAAAACATGCTCGCGAGTTGGGTACTGTAGTTGTCGAGCACATGCGGACTGAGGTGAAATCTAACAAATATAAACAATTCACGGCTCAAGGATACCGAGGCCAGCTCGGCCCGAGGCTGCCATTTGTTGGAGGGCACCAACTATACACCTGCACCGATCCTGGCAAGGCTGGGATCGGCAGCCCGAGCTGGCGCAAATGTATAGGTGGCGCCCTCCGCTATCGGTGAGCTGCGACCAGTCGCAACGACGGGAACTGCCAGAGGAGCAAGCCGACCATCCGTCCGACGTTCTTTCGGGCACCCCAGCCCGCGGGACGCGCGGCCTTCTGAGAGGGCCACGCGCCCCTCAGAGCCCAAAGAGATCACAAATGTCAACTTTGGCAACAACAACATCCACTGTCTGGAAGAATTGGAACCCTGGGAGTGAAGATAACGGGTCAAGGAGAAGACCGGTCTGGGGAGGTTCTCTCCATTTTCGTGCCCCTGGGGCCCTCCGATGGCCCCTGGGACCGTCAAAAAGCGACTCGGGATGAAGAACTTGTCCCGGGGAAAGCTCCGGGGCCCAAGACCCGTCTACCTCAGGACCGCTTTTCCGCATGGAGGCCAAAGCTTCATGCTGCAGGTTTTCGATCCTCTGGGAAGGCTTCGGGCGTACGGCTTTCAAGGGGCCGACCCTGTCTACGAGGTTCTCTGCCTTCTCAGAAGGCCCCCTCTCTCCCCCTCCCACCCCCAACCAACTCCACTCAAGACGGATCCGTGGACCTGGGAACCATTCCGGGGCCCATGCTGGCCCGTCTTTGGAGACACGCCCAGAAGTGGCGACGAGAGCCTCCAGAAGCTCTCGACCACCTCCGAAACGACGACGTCAACGACCGAGACGTTGTCGTCGTCGTCGTCGTCGTCGTCGCCCGAGCCCCTGTCGCCGCCGAGAGGCGAGTCGCCCGAGTCGATCTTCCTCCCCGCCCGCCTCCCCAAGCGCCCATGCCGCCAGCTCGACTCTGCCGAGCCCACGACTCGAGGAGGAGGAGGAGGAGGAGGAGGAGGAGGAGGAGGAGGAGGAGAAGGGGGAAGCGTGTCCTCAAGAAAATGGGCCCTGGACTCGGGGGGCTTTCCCCAGGACCACTCTTTCGTCCTGACTTGTTCTTCATAGCCCGGGGCAGGGGAGGGGCCCTGGATACCACGGCAACGGCGAGCAAAAACGGACCCGTTTCCCTCGGACCCGTTTGCGTCATGGCGAAGGATGGGTCGCTCCGCGCGGGCCCGGAGCAGAGTTGGGATCTCCGCCACAAGGGCGCCGGGTAAGGACGCAAGAAAGCCTTGGGCGGTCACGCGGGCTGGGATTTACAGCGGCATCAGTCCAGCAACATCTCGAAGCTCTGTGGCCAAGGGTGGGCCGAAGAGGCACGGATGCGAGGGCAGCCTTCACAGATCGCTGCACCCGTGCTGTATAGCGCTTTTGGCGCAGAATTTATTTACTGCTTGATGCATGCTTATTCTCGCGAAATGCTGGTCGTATACCAGGACGAGCAGCGTCGCGCGCGCGTATGAATACGCGCGAGTTATGATGAATGCTCGTACGCCCGGCAAAATCATCTCGCAAACCATGGATTCAAAACCTCACAGTGCAAACTGTGACTGGACCCGTGCTGACGCCAACGTGTATTTGTCCACCGGCCCCATGCAGCGCGTGGACACCAGCGCACTGAGACCCGCAAGGGGCCCCAACGTTACCTGTGCAGGTATGACAAGGCCAGGTTAGTCCTACACTGGGCAATCCTGCGATCGACCCTGGGGAGGTGGAACGAGATGTCGGTGCGGACAAATGGCGGCGGGGCGCAGGGGGGGGGCCTTCTAAGAAGAAGGCATGGGGCTTCTCAGAAGGGACCGCGCCCTTGAAAACCATACGCACCGCGCCTTCTAGGAAGGAGGGGGGGGCCTTCTCAGAAGGACCCCCCCCTCCCGTACTCTCTTTGCCCCCCTCCAGGATCCGCTCAAAACGGGTCACCAGACCCCTCCCAGGGCCCCTCCCGGTTGGCGTTTCGAGATGCGTCTGGCCGTGGCGACGGGAGGGCGACCCGAGACCAAAGAAGCCAGGACACCGATTGCGAAGAGGAGAGGGGAGTGAGACCTGTGCGGTATGGGCGCCAGGGCCTGCCAGGGCCACGCGCGCCCCAGGCCTTCTGAGAGGCGGGGCGCCCTCCTGGAGGGCCGCCCCGATGCCCTGCCCCCTCTTGCTGGCGCGCCCGAGGCAGGGACGGAAAGAGCGGGGGCGATGCCCAACAGCAAATGCTGCCTAAAACTGGCGGCGGCCGCGGTTGGGCAGGCGACCTTCGCGCCGACTGGACGACGAGGGCGGCGACACTGACGGAGAAACCTGCTCAAAATGGACAGCCACTGCTGTCGACCCATTTCTCCGTTCTCTTTCCGCCCACGTTCTGGTCCTCCCTGAGGGGTCCTTCGTCACCATTCGTTCCCCCACCATCTCCGAGTCTCCGAGGAACTTTGCCAAGCGCAGGGTCACAAAACACACGTTATTCCCACAGGGCGCTTCGCTTCTTCTACCCTCGCGCTGTTGATGTGTTCTTGTGACCCTGCACAGCGAATAATTATTCGTCGGCAGCGGAAGCCGCCATCGGCGGAGACTTCCGACCCGAACGCCAGCGCATTACCCGTTGTCCTCCCGAGCCTGCTCGCCGCACAACGAAATATATCGATGCGGGCGAATGCCCCGGTCCTGCGCCCAACCGCCAAACGAGACAAACTGATCCGACGAAGTAAGGAGGAGGACGACACGGGAGAGCATCGGGCTGGGACGAATCGGGAATCTCTGAGAACCAGCGGGTCTGGAAGGTGCATCGGGCGCCACGCGCCATCCCGCAGCGTTCCTGAACGCTCTCAGAGCGTTCCGAAGCGCTCCGGAGCTCCTCCCCCCTCCTCCTGGGCCTCCTGGTCTGTAGCGCCTGGCGGCGCGGCCGCCGGCCCCCCCTAAGCGGCGGCCTCTCCGCAGCAGTGCTCGAAGGTCTCCTCAAGGGGCGCCCGCCCTCCTCCGCCTTCCTGCTGCTCTGCCCGCCCGGCCGGGCCGAGCCTCGGGACGAGGTCCCCAGGGCGAGCCTGTGCCGAGGGCGGCTGTTCTCACGCTCGAGCTCCCTGCTCTCTGCACCCTTTTCTGGGGTCGCCCCTGGTCTGCATCCCCGGGGCGAGAGCTTGTTCCTCCTGGGCCTGGAGCGGGCATCGCAAAGAGTGGCAACGGACCGTATGATGCGGATCAGATCTGACGATGCGCGGATCCGGCTTCGTTTCCGAATTATGCTGGGGTGGATATGGCCCCCGTCAGCTAGGATCCAAGTTCGTCTGCTGGAGATGCCATCGTGGTTCAACCCAGCGGCCTCCCTGGGACGCAGGCCAGAGGGCGCCGAAGGACAGGACCCCAAGAAGCACAAGTCCAGCGGGGCGGCCAGCAGCAAGGACGACAACAGGTACGACAAGCTACTTTTTCTCGTGGCCAAGCTGCTCCTGGCGACCACGTGCGGCATGGCGGCCTTGGCGTCGGCGGTCTTCATCACGTACGAGATGAGCGCGGTGCAGCGGTTGCCAGCGGCACTGGCGGCGCCGGGCAAGGAGTTCGATCTGGTGAGCAAGGAGCTGGCCGAGAGGCAGAGGAAGGGCGAGGCGGTGTCTCAGGCTACTCATCGCGGGCGAGGCTCGCCACACCTACACATCTTCGCGGCGGGGCTCCACTACATTGCGACGCGCCAGCACTCGGAGGGCGAGAACGCCGACAAGGAGAAGAAGCTACGACAGGAGGCCGAGGGGTATTGGGCCAACACCGTGTCCAAGGAACTGAAAGACATGGGGCCGTGAGCAAAGTGTATCCGCCTCAAACTTCTCAAGAAGAGTGAGGTCGACCAGAGGTGTCTCATCACAGTGAACTTCGATACGGCGGTGGCCAGCGGCTCCCAGGCGCAGGCTTTTTTGTTCAGAAAGTGATCGAGATCGAGGGGGGGGAGAAACTGTACAGGACGGCCCCGCGGGGCCCGTTGGAACGCGAGATCTCATCAGCCGTGAACAGCAAGTGACTTGGCAGAGCAGTGAGCGCTTGGCACAGCTAGTAGCCAGGGGAGTGATTGACCCGGAGACGGCAGCATGAGCATTAGCAGGATCGCGTAGCATGCAGAGCTACTCGCAGTCAGAATTGCCAAGCATACAAACAACAATTTTGCCTCGAAGAGGCTCTGGCCGTGGGAAAAGGGTGTTCGTGATTAAGTCGTGGGCGTGGGGGGGGGGATAAGGATCGACCCGCGAGGAGACCCAGCCACGAGAGTCTGGCTAAGCTTACTCTGAGGCTGCCTCCTGCGCCGTCCGAGCCGACCCTCGTTCGAGGCTGCATGTCTCAGCGGTGTCGGCAGGCCAGTGCCTCAACAAAGGAGTGTGAATTGCAGATGTTACCTCTAAGCGTTTTCTGTGAGGGTCGAAGCTACCCGTTCCCAGAATCCCATGTAAAGCTGTTCGCCAATATGAAAGTAGTGAATTCCATGGTCTCTATTCCTGCTCCTCCTCCTCCTATTCACTGTTTTCCTCCTCGCCTTTCTCCTCCTTCTCCTCCTCCTCCTCCTTCTCCTCCTCCTCCTCCTTCTCCTCCTCCTCTTAACCCCCCTTCCTCCTGCTCCTCCTCCTCCTCCTCCTCCTCCTCCTCCTCCTCCTCGTCCTCCCTCCTCCAAATATCAACGTGCGGAGGGACACCCACGCAGCGCATTTTCAAATGTTTCTGAATTCTCGGGAGGCCTCCAGAAGCCTCTGGGCGCCTTCGAAGACCACCAGGAACCGATGAAGACCTCCTCCACCCCTTTTCCTTCATGATACATCCTTTTTCGTTGTGCCACCAGACGTGCCCTGCCCGTGGGGCGGTAAGGGCGTTTCGCTTGAGATTTGCCCACAACACATGATCCTGACGTTTAAAGTTGCCAGCCAGGTCGCGGATGTATGGCGGGCCTGTTTCAAAGTGTGGTTAACGTCATGATGCCACAACATCCCACGGAGAGGTTCCAACACAGTGGAGATGAATCCACAAGACACCCACCACACTAACGCCCCCCTTAACCCAACCGACTTTTCTTGGTCCAGGGTTGGGCTTTTTGCGCTTCGGCAGCAAACGAAGAAACCCACAAAACCAAGACCAGACCGGTATCTGTATCGCCCGCATCAAGCATCTTGTCACCAAGAAACCCAATACGATCGACCGACCATGCAAGCTTTGGACCTCGTACACACAGAAAGATGGCAGCCCCCGCCCCTAACAATAGCGTCCAATTGAGCTTGGCTGGGGTAAGGCGAAACAACAACCAAGGCAACCACAATGCGTCACGTCAATGCGCCCCGAATACCCCACCGCTCCCACGTCAGACTGACGAGCCCCCGCAAATGGATGCGTCGCGCTGGAAGAAGAGCCAGAGTGGCGTGCGAAGAGCCCGAGATACCCTGAATGCTCGCCAGTTTCTTGGGCTTCTGGCCGTGCGCTCCGAATGCGCCAGCGCCCCAATGGCAGACTGACGAGCCCCCGTAGGAGGATGCGTCGCCCTAGAGAAAAAAGCAACATGGCGGCCGAAGAAACCCAACGTACCCTGAACACCTGCCAATATGTTGGGCTTCCTGGCGCGCCACGACTATTGGCATCAATCGCACAAGTGCAGTTGGCCATGGGTAGGCCGAAGGCTAGGCAATGGGTAAACCAATGGACAGGCCATGGGCAGGCATGGGTGGGCCATGGGCAGGCAATGGGCAAGCTGGCAGGCCAACCATGGGCACACCAAGGACAAGCCATAGTCAGGCCATGGGCAAAATATGGGTAGGCCATGGAGAAGCCATAGGCAAACCATGGGTGGGCCATGGGTGGGCCAGGGGCGAGCAATAGGCAGGCCACGGGTGGCCCATGGGCAAGCCGTGGGCAGGCCATGGGCAGCCCTCAGTGGGTAGGCCATGGGTACAGCCATGGGCATGTGCACTGCCTGACGCGTGGCGCCAATTGAGCCAAAACGGCCAAGGGCGAACGCGAGCCGCATCCGCCAGCGCGCGAGTGACGAGCTGTGGCCCTGCCGCGCGTTCGTGACCTGGAATGGGCGAAGTGGTCAGGTTCATATGGCCCGCGCGCATGGAGCGTTCTGTCCATGGCAGGACACGTGCGCCATAATCCACGTAAATTTGAACATCTAATCGGCCACCGCTGAAGGTTCACATTCATCCCCAAAACAACTCCTGACGACTCTACCGTTATACACCATAGACAAGTACGACGCTCCACACGCGCACGCGCGCGTGGAACGTCCTGTACTGTCCATCGTGGGCAGCATACACCACAACTTGGAAATCCTGTCGGTCTCTGCTGAGGTACTTTTAGTTTCCAGAAGAGCACGGCGACTTTGCTAAGTGGGCAGCCCACAACGCTCCACACGCGCACGCGCGCCTCGAGCGCTCTGAAATATCATTAATCAGACGCCAGACGTATAAATCCGATCGGTCACCGCCAACGGTCCAATTCAGCTAAAAAGAACAAGACGATCTCACTCATATGAACAACTTGCAATGCTCCACGCGCGCCCGCGCGCGAGGACCGTGCTGCAGTGCCCATAGTAGGCACAAGTGCACCAGAAACCATGTGAACTTGGAAATCAGACATGATCCAACTGGCCACCACTCAAGGCCCACTGTAGTTTCCAACGCAACATGACAATTTCAGCATGATGGACAATGCACAAACGCTCCACACGCGCACGCGCGCTTGGAGAATTCCGTATTGCCAACAGTAGGAAGCACACACACACACCAAAACCCATGCTAACTTGGGAATCCAATCGGACACCGCCAAAACATGCTTAGTTCCCAATATGAAAACAACCGTTTCAAATGTAAGCTGGGCGCCAACATGGGTCATGCACTGTCGTAGACGCCAACCTCATGCCTGGAACGGCGATATCTTTCCTGTGAGAGAACACGTTTCACGGGCGCTTGCCTTGGGAAGAGTCGGCGGCGCGTTTCGAACCGCGGGGTGGCCCCCCCCAGCACTCGGCGCCGTCGATTAAAACCAAGGGGGCTCCACACCCCCCCAAACCCCCCCTCCCGACCCCCCCCCCCTCCCACCCGTTCGAGTCTGACCGCCCGACCCGAACGTCTGGTTAGTCCGTTTGTTTGCCTGCTCCCAACACGTCGCCTGCTAATCTCTCTTTCTTGCCTCCCTCCCCTTTGTCCCTTCCCTCCTCCCTCCCTTTCCCCTGCGCCAGGGGCTGCGTCAACTACCCTTGGCAGGTATGGAAGATATAGGCCCGAGCGTGGTACGATCGAAGACGAAGAGGGTGGGCATCGTGGGTGCGGGATGTGCATGCTGAGTGACCCGCGAGCAAAGAAGAGCGAACAGTCTTAAACTGATGTTTGTGGTTGTCGTCCCTCCCGCGACCCACCCCGCGACACAACTCCCGACCCACCCCGCGCCAGCCCCCCCACTCTTTTCCGCAAACGCGGGCTGCTACGTACCCCTTCTCATCCTCCTCGCACGTAGCCCAGGAAAGTCCTCAAAACGTCATCACTCTACCTCAGCCTGCTGAAGCATCTGGGCTCGGGCAGCCCGAGCAGAAATTACCAGAGCCTGAGCAGAGCAACGACGGTGGGCATTGTACAGATAGTATGCAATTACGATCCGTTGGGCAGCCAAGTCTCGCTCAACGACTGTAAGCGAGCGAGCGAGGGCAAGCCGTGATTCGATAGCCTCAGGGAGGGGTGAATCGGGATGCCAGACTTGGAGAACAGCTTCCCACATACGCGGGCAGCACACATAATGAGCCTGACTATCCTCACCCTCCTCCGCAGGGCAGCCGAAAATGCACATGCAGCGCTTCTGAGTCACCCTCCGCTCCGTAACCCACCCACCCGCCAGAGTCTTTAAGATGCACATCTGCCACGACGGCGGCGCGCTCATCATGCGATCTCGGAGCGCGGGCCAGTCAATGGCTCTCGTGGCACGGGAAGAAGGGAGCCTC